CAAGGAAGGATCAAATCACACATTTATCATAGCAGTTCATTGCAGTAAAAGCAAAACCATAGAACAAAGAACACACTGATATAATGAAAACAGACACTGTCTTTAGCTAACCTAGTCAATACAGAAGAACAAAAACATGAAATTGAGTTTTTAATTTCTGTATTTCCCATCTAATTTCATGGAAATGCAGAAATTAAAAACTTGGGCAGGCATTGGTGGCGCACACCTTTAATCCCAGCACTCAGGAAGCAGAGGCTGGTGGATCTCTGAGTTCGAGACCACCCTGGTCTCCAGAGCGAGTGCCAGGATAGACTCCAAAGCTACACAGAGAAACCCTGTCTCGAAAAACAAACAAAAAACTCAAAGACTTTCTGATACAGCGGTAGGCCGGCCAGTTCAATATCCTCTCCACTATAGCTAGGGAAAAAAAAGAACAGAAAATAAAAACAACCTCAAAGAAAAAACCCCCCTCAAACTCATATTCTGTATCATTCTACATATAGAATTAAGAAAATGGGTGAAATAGATAACTTCAAGGGAAATGCAAAGTAATGAAAATTTTGTGCAGGTATTTTTTGTTTTTGTTTTTGGAGACAGGGTTTCTCTGTGGCTTTGCCGGCTGTCCTGGAACTAGCTCTTGTAGCCCAGGCTGGTCTAGAACTCACAGAGATCCACCTGTATATATATATATATATTCAAATCCCCGTCTGTGGCCCATTTCTTTTAGCCTGAAAAACACATCTTATATTTCTGGTAAGATAGTTTTGGTGGTACAAATCTAGTTTTGCTTTGGGGAAATGTTTATATTTGAATTCATTGTTGAAAGATGATTTTGTCAAACACAAAATTCTTAGTTTACAGTTCTTTTTTTCTCTTCCAATAGTTTAAACATATTCTCTGCTCTTGGGGTTTAATGTTTCCGAAGTTGACTTTAATCTTACTTGGGGCTCCTTTTTATAAAACCCTTTTTGTCTTGAGTTTTTTCTGCCTTTAAGATTTTTTCTGTCTCTCAGCATTTTTGCTTGGATTTTCTTAGCTGGAGTTTTTTTTTCTTTTATTGTTTTACCATTTCTTTCCTAGCCTTTCAGTATTACACTTGTGTCTATGGTGATAAGGACTAATGGTATTTGACAATTTTTGACATTATTCATTTTCTGTCATTGTGTTTGGTTTGCCACACTCTTTTTGTTCCTAGCATCAATTTCTAACACTTTTCATAATAACTTTTGTTAATTTCACCCATATTAATGTTCTGAAATGTTGTTTTATTCATATTACTCCCAAATTCAAAAACTGTCCATGTTTATATTGAAATTAGCTATACATTTTGTCATTGATTGACTATTTTGTACCTGGGAATCTATCTTTTACTCTTTCATTTATCCTTTGATAGCATCAAATTGTTCTGTCCATAACCCTGTTTTAACTACAGCTTCTTCAACATGCTGTGTCTATCACTCATTTGCTTCTGATGCATCATACTGTATTTTTACATTAGTATTGTTCAACCTAATGAAGTCTAAACATACTAAATTTAGTTGCTTCTGTGTGCCCTGACACTTCTAGTACTTGTAAGATAGAGAATAACAATAAATCAACTTGATGATACTGTTGCTTTACATGTTGTATTTAAGCATGCTTTAATTCTGGCAGGTACTGTTATAATGAAAATAAGCAACTCTTTCCCAAAGGTAAACTGTTAGCGCTGAAGATTGAATGTTAATTGGACCTTACAACCTGACTTCAATGCCTGGGACCCAAATGACGAAGGGAGAGAACTAATGGTTCTCTTAACCTCTATGTACTATAGCACACATGTGCCCCCTCTCTGCACAGTAAATTAGCCATTATAATAGCATTTTAAAGGAAGTTGAATGATTTTGTAAGTCTATCATATGCTTTATATCACAAGACTTTCTGCAATATGAATGTTTACTTCTATTATAGATAAATTATTGAGAATGATATAGATTTTATTCCTTTTCTTTTCTTTTCTTTTTGTTGTTTTTTTCCTTATGGAAGGGAGAGAAAGAGGGTCTTATATACCCTTTTCTGGATTTGAACTCTCAACCTGCCTGAGTCTCCGGAGTGTTGGGGTTATAGTCATGAATAATATATTTTAATAATAATACATTTCATTACAGTGCTAAACTTTACTTTATGTGCATATGTAACTAAAATAACTATAAGAAACTACATTCATATTTAGAGAAAACAAAGCAGCAAAGGGTGAATACTTTTATAAATAACTTCATTGATTATATAGCATCCCATTGTTATTGTTCTAAAGCTTATGAATTTAATAAAATATTAGAATATTATGTCAAATATGGGCACTTTAAGAATAAACCAATACCTTTAGCTTAAACTGAAGTTACTATGCAGTAACTCATAAAAATGACCAGTTTAACAATATAGCATAACTGGAGTAACAAGATTATTCCAAACTTAATCATTATTGATGGGAATATAAAATAGTGACTGTCCTATTCCCTTCTGTAAGCAGCATCTACAATTAAAACTGTGCTTGACCCTTTGTCTTCAGTCATGTTTGTATCACCTGCCATAGTGTAATATGTTCAAGGGTTATTGTCACAGTGCAGGAAGCCACATGACTCATCCCCAGAGGCTTGTAGATTCCTTTTTTAAAAATTATATTATTGTTCCATGTTTTTATTTATTAACTGAAACTTAAAAATTCTCATCAATTAGTATAATCTAAGTCAGATTTAATCTTTCTTTCTTTCATAGGAAAAAGTCAAAGAGAAGGAAGGAAGTCTGAGCCTTGTAAACCGATTCTTAAAGTAGAGTACAAAACTTGCAGGAACAGGTATGTGGTTGTACTTGGTGAATATGTGACCATGTGTGAGGGGTAGGAGAAGGAAAGACAACAATCTCTGATAATACGTTACATTGCCATAGAATTATAAATGATTAAGTCTCTAAATTAATAACATAGTTTTCTATTATGAATATTGAAAATAATAAATGTCATATTTTAATTATATTTATATTAACTTATATTTGAATAATTGAGGACTCTTGGACCATTTATAATACTTGTGACAGCATTTATTAAGCTAAATCTATGTATCTATTGATATTCCTTGAGATTTAAATATATAACCAGATCTCTCTGAAATTAAGATTTTAACATACTGAAATAGAAAAGATAGCCTTTAGTTGGAATTATAAAGTTGTGTATGTTTTCATAACAGAAAAGAACTAAATTTTAAGATCATATAATAAAATAATAATTAATATAAGTTTATTACATTTATAGATAACATATCCAGTTTTTCTGCATTGCTTTAGTTTATAATAAGCATTAATGGCATTTTCCCACCCAATATGAGCATAGTAAACCTTCCCTGAATAACATCATCATCATCATCATCATCATCATCCATCATCATCATTATTATTATTATTATTATGCATGTACGTGCACGTGGGTTCTGGGATCTAACTCAGGAGTAAGCACCTTGACATGCTCAGCCATCTTGTCAACCCCTGAACAGAAATATAAACTGAAAACTCCTATTTTATATTAGTTACTTGCTCACATTCTAATGTGCTATTAGCATCATAGATACAATTATGTTTATTAAAATTTCCTATTCTGAAGTTCTAATAATAAAAAATTATGGTAAATTATCAATATCTCTTTAGCAGGCCAGTTTAGTATAGCATAACTAAAGAAATAAAATGTTCCAAATTTAAACAGTGTGGATGGAAACAAAATCTTATATAATTTTCTTTTATTAAAATGTTATTTATAAGTAAAAGTTTTCTTGTGTCTTTGGATTCAGTAGTATATATCCCATGTCATACAGTGTAAACTCTAAGGATCCTTGAGGGTTGGGAAATTATATTAATTGTTCCAAACAGGTTATAATTTTATTTGGTTTTCCTTGTCACTTGTGTAATTTTTTTTCAAAAGAAGTTTTTCTTTACTTCAGTGTTGGCTGTCCTAAGGACTATAATATCCATTGAATTATCAATTAGTGTTCAATCTTTTCTATAGATTACAAATTTTGAAAATAAAACAGCAATGTGAGAACCATTTCATGTGAAGCCTGAGATGCTTTTCCAGTGATAAATCTTATGATCTGTGGACTTTATGGCTTCTGTTTGGTTACAAAGGTGTCGTTTTGAAAATGGTACTCCTGTGACGTGCTCAGCAATGTTCACTTTGATTCAGTTGTTTTTAACTATATACCACACACTGAGTAATTTGATTTGTGTGCTAAAACATGAATTACTACCAGGTTTTGAATTTGGTAGGCTTTAGTAACAAAGACCAAGACAAAAAACTAATGGTTTTTAAATAGCATGAGTAGTAGTTTGATAGATGTTTGTTTTGAGGGCATAGAAAAAGGACAATGGTATAATCAGACTGTAAATATTATCAAATTTCTATATCTGTTAGCTTTTGGGCAATTAAAAAATTTAAACAAAAAGTAAATAAAAAGAACAAGTAACTTAGCCTTGAATATCATGGAGAGTTATCAAAAGAGAGATCAGGAAAATTCCTTAGGGAAAGAATTTCTGAGATAGGAAGTAAAGGATGAAAGTAAAGGAGGTACTTTAGGAATCAGGACTCAAATGAAGCAGAGTAAGGTCATGATTAATGTCACTGACTTTACAATGATTGTAGGATTTTTATATATCATAATCTTTAGTTTCATCACCAGTAATACCTGATTTACCAGGATACTCATGAAAACCAGATGAAATAATGCATAAGGAGCAGATTTTCCAAGACTAGGAGGGTCACACCTAGTTTCCTAATAAATCAAATTAGCATTATTATTATCATTGGCAGATTAAATGAAAGATTAATTAAAGATTTGTTTTAACAATTAGTATTCTAACCATAATAATTCTATTCATAATGTGAAATTGGCATTTTATTGATCAGTTTCATACCACTTGTATACATTGCATATAGACAATTTTGTTTTTATTTTTGTGGTTATTATTTTATTATAAAAGTTACCTCTGAAAGTTTAAACTGAGAACTTGGAGGTGTACTAGTCTTAAAAAGAATGAAAGATGTGGTCACAGAAGTAGAAAAGAACTCTGCTGAAGGTTATATCAAAGTTAAAACTTTGCCTTCATTATATATGCCTTCATGCATATATAGATAAACACACACACACACACACATATATATATATATATATATATATATATGCATGAACATGTGTGTAATCTCATATACTCTTGTTACTAGATTGTGTTAGATTTTTAAATCGAAACATGTTTTTTGGTTTTTTTCTTTTGTTTAAGTAGAGAATTTGTTCAAACAAATTGCTATCCTCCCTGCTTAACCCTTCAAATCACAAAGTCTGGCAGGGGCCCTGGGAATTTATATCTGTAACAAATTCTGGTTTATGCTGATGTTGGACTACACTTTTAAACACTGATACATTGATTAAAATAAAATTGTAAGAGATGAAAATATCCAGAAAATAGAGAGATAATGATACAAATATCAGAACCTTAGTTATTGTTCTATTGCTGTGAGAGGACACCCTGACAAAGGCAACTCATAAAAAACAAACAACAAACAAAAACCCAGGTAATTGAAGGCTTGCTTACAACTTTAGAGGGTTTAGTCCATGATCATCATAACAGGAAGCATGGCAGCAGGCTGACAAGTGCTGGAGAAGTAGTTTAAAGCTACATTCTGATCCACAGGCAGCAGGAGAGAGAGAGAGAGAGAGAGAGAGAGAGAGAGAGAGAGAGAGAGAGAGAGAGAGAGAGAGACAGAGAGAGACAGAGAGAGAGAGAGAGACAGACAGAGAGAGAGAGACAGACAGACAGACACAGACAGACAGACAGAGAGACAGACAGAGACAGAGAGAGATATTGATTTGGAGGAACTGTGATATTTCATTGTTTATTAAAATTTGACTCTCTTTTTTATCTTAGGGACTTGGGTCCCACATGCCCACTTGTTAATTGAAAATTATAACATAAACTAATGTTCTAATGTTAGTGATATAGAATTAGCCAAATAAAATGTACAAATATGTCCCTCTACTCCAAGTGGAGTACCTCCACTTCCCTCTATCTTGTCTTTTCACAATGCCACTCAAATATTTTTACACTTACCCACTAGTTGTTCTAGTATCTAGAATGTAGACCTCTAACAGGGAGATGAAAAATAGTCATTGTTAGTTGAGATACTAGAATCAGGAAAGCCATTTGCATTGTAGATAACCTACTCTGAACCTATTATTTAAAAGCTTATGTTTTGTCTTCTTACTATTTTAAAGAATGTAGTCTCATTACCTTTTTCCCCCCCTATGTAGTGAACCATTTATAATATTCTCTGGTGGGCTGTCATATGACAAAGCTTGCAGAAGACCAAGTTTAACCATCATGCATGGAAAAGCAATTACAGTACTTGAAATGGATCATCCTATTGTTGAATTTCTAACTTTATGTGAAACACCTTATCCAAATGGTAAGTAGATAACATGAAACATTTAATTTTAGAAAAAAAATCATTTTGAAATGACAAGTTCCTAATGAAATTAAGGTTAAATATTTTCAGTTTTGGCAGCAGACATCCATTGTGGTACAACACTGTGAGCTACAGTTGCTGGCGCAGGTTCTGCAATTGTACCTACTTGGCAAACTGGAAGTAAGACAGATGTAGTGCAGCAGTGCTGGCGTTTCAGGTTCTAATATCAGGTAAGTGCTTTAAACTTTGATAAGGATGGTGGAAGCTGAGCTGGGAGGGTCCGATAGGGGTCCAGGGTGAAATCACTTGGGGAAACTGAGGTCTCCTAATAGTCTCTCCTAGACCAGCTCCACCCATCCCATCCCAATGCCAATCAAAGTTAAAGCACTTACCTGATATCAGTGATCTGTAACTCTGGTGGTGCTGCAACTCTTTCACATCTGGCTTTGCTTCAGATGCAACTGCAGCACATCTGATTACTCTAGGATTGCTGATGTGTGGTTAGTGATTTATTTTAATTTGGAGAACAGTCATAAGACCATCAGGAGAGAAGCATGTTTATATTTATAACTTGAGTAAAGATACAAAACCTTTGTAAACGTAAAAGTAGTCTAAACTCATACAAAAAAATCTAATGGTGATGAAATAAAGAAATCAAAAAATTGAAATTGCTTAAAACATAAACCAGAAATATGAATTTATGAACAAAACAATGTTAATACACATTACTACATTTTCAAAAGGGAACTTGTAGATATAGGACAAAACCTTGACTTGGGACAAAGTATTTGGATTTATGATTCACCTCTGGATTTATGATTCACCTCTGACATTTATTAGCTACTAAGTAAGATGCTTACATGTTTTACTTACCATGTAAAGAAAGGGAATAATTTTACCCAAATATGATTAGTGGAAAGGAAAATGAACATATTTTGTTAACTATGAAAATAAGTATGTTGTGTTTTATTACTAAATATATTGATTTCCTTTTGGTTATTTAGCTTTATATTTAAAATATATAGTAGACAGCAATCAATGTGGCATTTATTTTAAGATTTACTAGAGACAAATGACCTGCCTTTCTAATCAACATACATTTATTGAATATTGATGTGGCCTCAATACTATAAGCACTTGTTAAACTTATAGAAATATGAACATAATGTTTACGGTAATTGCATAAAGTCTGATTGGGCAATGAAATAATTATGAATTATTGAATTGAATGATTATAATGTTGAATTTCATGGTTCACAGTATAGATAATACACATTTTTATAGCTGGTTAAATGACTGAAATACTCAAATATGTAAAGCCTCAAAAGAGAAATAAGATTAACCAGAACTTATTGAAAATGTTGAGTAAAGGTTTATAAATTATGGGGTTTGGTAAGATCAATTTACAAGAAAACATCTAAGGTTTTTGGAGAAGTTTGGGGGGAAATGGAAGAACTTAATACACTAAGATGAAAGATAGCATTCATTTTTAGTAGGTTTGTTCAAGGAACATGCAGGTTTCAAGAGAGACCCTCAAAATCCAAACTGTAGCAAAGGCATTTGTAAATAATATGTATTTAATGTAGCTGGGTGTGTTGTTTTGCTCATATAATCTCAGAATAGGGGAGAATGAAGCAAGAGGATTGCCATGAGTTCAAGGCCAGTCTAAGCTACATAATGAGTTTTAGTACAGTTTATGCTATAGTGTGTGTGAGACTTTGCTTCAAAATGAACAAAAGCATTCAAACATCTTTTCAAACACAGACACAGCATTTTGTTTTTTTTTTAAAGAAAGAATAGTAAGATTGAATAGAGTTAAGAGAGAACAAGAAAGAGGAAAATATCTTACAATATTTATTCATGATTTATCACACTATAATGCTTTTTGGAGTTATGAAAATGAATGACAAAGGAACAAAGTTTGGAGTCACCTAGGAAGGAAATATGGAGGAAACAGAAAGAGAAGTCAAAATACTGGATTAAAAGCTAAAGTTAGGAAAATCCCTCCTATCAAGTGCAGTAAGATGTATCTGAAATAGAAGTTCATGATTGCAAAGATCAGATACATGTCTCAAACATGTGGTCTTCTAAACATCAGTAGTCATGTAAGGACAATTTATAATGATTTTTAATAAATCATAAATCTTCTAAATCATGCCTATTCTCCACCACAAGTTGATTAATAGGTCTGTTTTTCAGAAAACTGATAGGGATAATTGAACTTTACATTTGTCAGATTTGAGGAGAAATGGTTTTAACTATACTCATGGGAATGTAAATAGATTAACTACTCGAATGCATTTTAACTCTTCAAACTTTGAGTCTATCAAAGCACCAGAAAAGAAAACTTACATTATACACAATGAAGTTTCTCATGGCCTTTCCCAGAGTCACCCAATGCTACTCACCTTTTTAATTATTCTCTTCAAGTGTGCATATACATGTATACATTATCTTGTTTTTCTACAAATGACATAATATTCTATGCACTGTCCTATATCATCGTGTTAATGTATTTTAATTATTGTTCCATAGTAGTTAATAGGGAATTCCAATCTTCTTTACAGTTACATATGATAAATGTCATTCCCAAGCTAAACCAAGTTATCCATAATTTTAATACTGCTGACAACTTTTATGACATCTGACAATTTAACTCACAACTCAAATGTTGTAACATTGTTCATAGTATCATAATCCAGAGTAATAACTGTAATCAGAGCTTGCCAGTTCTCATCTACATTTAGTTGGCCAGTCACCTCTAGGCCTCTAAAATGATGCATTATTTTCAGAATAATAATTGTGACAGAAATTTCTTCACCCTTAACTGGTAGGAGCAAGGGTTAAAAAGATGAGACACACCAACCTAAAAAGGGACTATTATTTATATCATCATGTATAGTTTTTCTTATAACTTTTGTAACAGTTTACGGTGGTTGTAATTGTGCCATTTCAGTGAAAAGGGAACTTTAAGTCAAGGAATGTAACTAATGTGCCTAAGACAAAACTTTAGTAAATAATAGGCAAAGAATTGAAATCAATGTTGATTCCTAAACAATTATTTAGTTGCTGTCACAGTATACATACAAAGGACTTCTACAAGGTGGAACTTCTGCTGCCAGTTTTTGTTTGTGTAGGAACAACAGTAACTTTTGACAAATGTAACCGTCTACAATTTGAATTTATCTATGACTTTCGTTCACACATGGTAATGCCTCAGCTATTTTACCTTCTAACACTTGCTATAAACATAGCCAATGAAGTTCCTAAGGAGAGCTGACAAAGAGAAAATGTCATCAAACATTACCATTCATCAAACTAAGAACCAAATTGTATTAAAACAACACTGAGAAACTTAAAACAATTCTAAAGATAAATACTGGGAACATCCAGTTTGATAATAATTTGGACATTGGACTGTTACAGACTTCCTGTTGTCATATAGATGAACTCCTAAACACCCTTGTTTGCTTTTGTGTTTTTCACTCATGTGAATGTTGGTTGTAAACATGAACTTGTATAGGAACTGTAGCTTCTCAAACCTGGAAGTTACTCTGAAGGCTGTCTACTCCAGTATTTAAACTTACTGCCCAAGACTTCAGTCCTCTGTAGAAGACATCTGCTGAGTGATTGATTATTGAGAGTCAAAGATTTTAACATTATAGTTGTCGAATAAAACATGTTTTATTAAAGTTTTCTTTGTCACTTTGGCGCATAATTCAGTTTTCTCATCATTTATATAATATCTCTATATGAGATAAAGAAAATGCAGTGTTGGTGGTTTAAATAAAATATGCAGTATAGAAACTTTTCAGTGTTTTTCCTTCTGTTGTAGAATTTCAAGAACCCTATGCTGTTGCTGTACTTCTAGAGAAAGATCTCATCGTAGTTGATCTGACACAAACCAAGTAAGTTGTTTATATTAACACCAACTACTTTTAAATTCTGTTCAGTACAATAAACATGCAGGAGCACACTTTAGATAATTGGCATTGGAATTCTCTAAGTAGCAAGTTTTCCTTATGTGAAAACTGTCTTGCTAAAGTTATAGAAATCCAGTTTAGTTAAATGATGAAAAGTGAGCAAGGAATGTTTGTGTAACAAGAAAAATGCTATTTATCTAAAAAGCAGCATAGATGGAAACAGCATTTAGACACTCAGAACACAAGGAATCACATTTTTGCCTTTGTCTTAAGCAAAATTAATTGTTACAAATCATGTACAGTATAACAACTGGCCATCTGTTACACTTTTGACCAAAGGAAATCTGATAAAATAAAATTACACATGGTGAAACTATTTTGAGACTGCCACAGCAGACAGTTGAAGCCTGAGATTTTTAGGAACAAAAAACGGAGTCTTTTGTTCCTATTTTTAAAATGTGGGAAATATATAACAAAAATAAAGAAAATCTGTTTCACCCTGAGACACAAATGTGTAAGCTAGAAGGCAATGTCCATCAACTTCAAGTCTACTTTACAATCAATATAGACTACTGAAACACATCAGCAGCACCTTTTATGTTTTCATGTCACATGTGTTTTCTTCCTTTCTCTCTTCTTATGATACCTTCCTCCCCTCTCATGACCCCTTTCTAGTTTCATCACCTACAGATACACCCATTTAGCTCTAGATTCTGTATATAGAACAAAATATGCAGTCTTTTTCTTTCTTAGTATAGCTTACTTTGATTAACATAATGATTTCCAGGACCATTCGTTTTCTTGGAAATGTTATGATTTCATTTTTGTTCAAGATAATAAAAGTATAATTTGTGTAGGTACTATACTTTATCTATCTATGTGACCATTAAATTAGAACTATCCATTGGAACCTGGTAGAATCATTTAAGGAACATACAATTAAAGACAGTGGTTCCATTTCTCCCTAAATCTATCATTAGCAAAGAGTCCAACAGTTAAGAACACACCCTCCTGAGACCCTCCCCTAGCCATACTGGACTGTTAACATTTCCATTCTTGGGCACACTTAGTGAATGCATCCTTAGTTGCTATGAGTTTGTGGTTGCATAGCTATGTCTTGCCAGGAGATATTTTATAGCCTATCTCTGTCAGCTCTTATATTCCTTTCCACTATGCTTCTATTTTCAGTATCCCATAAACCATTGCACAGGATGGTATTAATGTATTATTTAGGGCTGTGCTCTCAGTACCCTGCAGCTACAAGTCTCTGTTTTAAAACTACAATTCACTGGAAAGAGAGTTTCTCAATTAAGGTTGAGAATACTGTATATCTATGGGTATAAACAAATATTTAGAAGGTAGCTTGATCTATGTCAGTTGCTAAAGAACAGTATTCTGTTCCTTACTAGAGACTGTGACTTCCACAGCTATGGGTATGTAATCAGACTTATAGAAATAGACATGGATTCTCTCCTGTTGAGTGAGTCTCAAGTCCAATCAGAAGTTGTTTACCCCCACAATGGTAGGGCCACTATGGCGTAAATGGGATCCTCTAGCTCTCCAGGTTGGTATTTTAGATACTAGAATTCACAGTTGTGTAAGACCATTGGTGACATTTCTACCCCAGTAGTTCACATAGGAGCTTCTGGAACTACAAAAGCTACCTGTTAGGTGGAGGATTCGGCTCACTTCCAGCTTGATTATTTTCCATTCCTGTGACCATTCCCACCCCTACTGGCCCCTTTCTAGGTTACTATCGTATATTAGTAATCTAAATTGAACCCATAAAATTAGATATTTGAAACTGGGATCTATATATAATGGAGAATGTGAGGTGTGAATGTGACAGATAGTGTGGTGTTTGTTTTTCTGTGCCTGGCTAACCTCAACTCAGGATATATTTTATTAGAGCCACCCACTTACCTGCAAATTTCATAGCATCATTTTTCTCTGCAGCTGAATAAAATCCTACTGTACCACATTTTCATTATCTAGTCTTTAGTTTTAGATTTTTCTGTTTCTTAGCTATTTTGTTTTTTCTCCATTTTTTTATTTGAATTAGAAACAAGATTGTTTTACATGTCATTCCCGGTTCCCTCTCCCTCCCCTCCTCCCCTGCTAGGGATTAGTACTGATCTACTACAAGAGGCCCCATAGATTTCCAAGGCTTTATTTCTGAGTGACTGTAGTCCTAGCTACATTATTATTACATATTCCCGTATGTTGTAGTTTACTCCCTCCTGTCTCTTCTACCAGTTACAGAATTTCATATATTACATGAAGATCCATTTGGAGGTCTTTGATTCATTTGGAGGTTTATTAACAGGGTGGGTCTAGCTTCATTCTTCTACATGCAGACATTAGACTTCCAACATTGTTGAAAATGTTGCCTTTCATCTAGTATGAATTTTTGTCAAAACTCAAATGTCAGTAGTTGCATATTTCAGACTTGTATGCTGTTTCAATGATCTCTCTCTGTCTCTCTCTGTGTCTCTCTCTCTCACACACACACACAGAGGAGAGAGAGAGAGAGAGAGAGAGAGAGAGAGAGAGAGAGAGAGAGAGAGAGAGCGCTATGGTTTTGTCACTTGTAATCCTTATTAGATAAAGGTGTATTCCTGCCAACCTTGTTTTCTCTGGTAATTCTCTCATGAAGGGAATTTGAATTTAGTCAAAGCATTTTTTGAATCTGCTGACAACTATGTGAGTTTTTTTCTTAAGTTCAAAGAAAGGAAGAAAGGGTACAGCCCATGTGAGGTCTCAGGGAAGGCAGGTGAGGAGTTGGGAACACTCGGAAAGAATCTATTTAGTGACTAGGTCTGCTCAAGGTCCCAGAAAAGACCAGCAGTGAATTTGATGGCCGAGGGACAAGCGATGACAGGGGACTACCTAGTGGCAGGAGGTCCTAACAATGGAACATGGGAAGCTGGGTGGTTTAGGGGTACAGAAGGTGAAGAGTTAACCTTTAGGCAAGAATGGCAATGGAGGAAAAGTAGCCTGGTAGTTGGGCAGCCTGTGGGAGGAGACAGGGTCCTGCACAGCAGTGGGATCAGGCAATCAGGGAGGTGAACTGGGTAGCCTAGGGAGGAAAAAGGAGTGGGGGGACAACCAGGCAGCAAGTCAAAGCATGTCGGGGGGGCATGTAGAATTGGATAACTTAGGGATAAGGATGTAAAAGGCCTACTTGTTAGCACACTAGGCTATAGTTCACTGAAAGGTGGCAGGTAGCTCTTTGGCCTAGGGAGGAAGACTGCCCAGGACATTTTTGGAGGTAATTGCAAATATAATCATTTCTTCCAGTTCTTCCAGTTCCTCAGTTTGTTTGTTCTTGGTATATTTCTGCATATTAATTTTTATTATACTACTTTTCTCAAAGTATCTATCATACAACAGTTTTCTAATAGGATATTTATGCTTTTTTATGTTTAATTATAGCATCTGCAAATAAGGATACTTGATCTCTTTTTCTGTTTGTGTTCATACTTCTTTTCTCTTGTGTTCCTGTTCTGGACAAGACTTCAAGCAGTGTATTGACTAAGAGTGGACAAAGGGGATGCACTTGTCTTGTTCTTAATTTCAGTGGACATGCTTTATACTTTTCACCCCAATTGGATAATGTCAACTATAGATATGTCATATGCAACTCTTGCTATGTTAAGATCTGTTCCTCTTCTGTACTCGAACGGTCCTATGCTGGTTTCCCAGATATCAGTCTGGGGTCCATGAGCTCCCCCTTGTTCAGTCAGCTGTTTCTGTGGGTTTCTTCATCCTGGTCTTGACCCCTTTGCTCATCACGCCTCCCTCCCTGCAACTGGATTCCAGGAGTTCAGCTCAGTGTTTAGCTGTGGGTGTCTGCTTCTGCTTCCATCAGCTACTGGATGAAGGCTCTAGAATGGCACATAAGGTAGTCATCACTCTCAGTATCAGGGAAGGGCATTTAAGGTAGCCTCTCGACTATTGCTTAGATTGTTAGTTGGGGTCAACCTTGTAGGTCTCTGGACATTTCCCTAGTGCCAGATTTCTCTTTAAACCTATTGGGAGTCCACTCCACATGGAGGGATACTTTCTCAGCCTAGACACACAGGGAGGTTCTAGGCCCTGCTCCAATGCTATGACAGACTTTGAAGATTCCCCCATGGAAGGCCTCACTCTCCCTGGGGAGCAGAAAGAGGATGGGATAAGAGGTTGGTGGGGGGCAGGGGAGGAGGGAAGGGTGAGGGAACTGGGATTGACATGTAAAAGAAGCTTGTTTCTAATTTAAATAAAAGAAAGGAAAAGAAAAAAGAAAAGAAAAAAATCTGTTTCTCTTATTCCTAATCTCTTCAGGGCTTTTATCAGGAAGGATTGGATTTCATCAAAGGCCTTTTCTTTACCTATTGCACTGATCATTTGATTTTTATCCTTGAGTATATTTATTGATGTATACATTTATTGTGCTGTGTAGGTTGAAGCATCCCTTCCTCTGTAAAATGAATATAACTTGAATACATGAATGATTGTTTTGTTGTACAGTTGAATTCAGTTTGCAAGGATTTCATTGAAAAAATTTTGTCTTTGTTCATTAGGGAGAGTGATCTATATTTTGTGCCTTTATCTGGGTTTTATATCAATGACTTCATTCAAAGAGTTTTTAGTGAATACTATAGGGTGTCTTAGTATAGAATCCTATCATCTCAAATTAGGGCATTACTTTTTGTTGTGTCTTTTTCTAGCTTTGTTATCCAGGTTTTGCTGTCTTCATACAATGAGTTTGGTAATGTTCCTGTAATTTTTTGGCACAGTTTGAGAAATATTACTGACAGTACTTCCTGGAGGGTTTGGAATGATTTTTTAATAGTAGCTATGTCTGTTCCTGTGCTTCTTTGTAAAATGAGTGTTATTGCTTTAATCTCGTTACTCATTGTGGGTCTTATTGATTTAATTTGGTAGGTGCTTTGTATTTCTAACAACTTAATATATCTCTTCTCGATTTTCTTTTTTTAATA